AAACCAACCCCACAGCCCCCCCCCGGCGGTGGGGGGCCGGCAAGCCGCCGCCCCCCCTCCCCCCCCCCCCCCCCCCCCCCGCCGCTCCATGTCCCAGAGCTGGTACCCAGAGCCAGGCATCTGAGGACTCCTGGGTCCTTCACCTCCAGGCTCCTTTCCCTCCCCACCTAGAGTGAAGGTCATTTTATCTTTTCATCAAGAGAGTCTCCCTTCCAGTTTGTCTCAGTGACTCCATATTATCCCTCAATACCAGGGGCAAAGCAAACACTGTCCCAGTACAGTACGCAGTTCCCAACTGCAACGCTTCCGAATTTTCTTATTTTTCATCACTCTTCCTATTTTGGGCCGCACCCAGAGGAGCAGTACAGAGTGTTCAGCAACACACACACAAGGCCAGAGCGCTGCTTGGGGCTAACGTCGATTTCAGTGATTACACGGCCTGAGCTCCTCAGCATGGCACTCAAGCTCCCCGACAGTGAGCCAGATTTGGCTAATGATTATGCCACCTGAGTGACACAGAAGGACACACTGACATGTGCTTTTTACTTTCAGCAGTCTCAAGGGAACAAACCCGGCCCCAGACCTCCTTTCTCCCTTTGGTTAGAGAACCTAAGAATGAGGCTGCGGCATCAGTGACTGCAGCGTCCTTTAGGGAGGAGAAAGCTCTGTGCCCGAGGGCAGTTTAAGGGGCTGGCGCTGACTGGAACCCGAGGACAGTGCCTGCCACGGTGGTCATCTCTAAGGTCCTTAAACACCCGGGTCTTTGGAACCCTGAGCTTTTACATGGGTTACGTCAATCGGTAACTGCCATGTGTTAGAAATTAAAACTGGGAAACGTTTACAACACAGTATTTGAGCATCCATGCCACGCCCAAACGATGGCATCGCCCCACTCTCATGTCACTCCTGTGAGAATGGGAAGGAAAAGGGCAAATAATGTCTTAATATCTGCTTCCACCTTATGACCCCCTTGAAAGAACTCCCGAGAATCTCTGCTGGAATTAGGCAAAGTCCCCAGGATCCCTGGCTTGTAACTTCTTTAACAAGTCCCTCGTATTGAACAAAACATCATGTCATTTTATCTAACTATCCATTCATTTATTTATTTATTCTTTTGACAAAGACTTCATAAAGACCAATAACGAAGAAGGCACTGGCCAAAGTTATATGGAAAAAATGCAGATGGCAGAGTATCATGACACTGGAGCATTAAGACTGGATTTTACAGTGGAATCAGAAAACAAAATATTACCAAGTTTCAAAGATGTGGGGACATCTATGAAGGACCAACAACCTCCTTCTAAACTACGTGACAGATAACACGGTGCCTAAGATCTAAACTTTAACACGAGGATCAGGCAGAAAGCACCCCGAGGCCTCGAATCCACAGGGCAAGCACAGGACAGCGCTGTTATGTTTATGTCTGACCGATTCTTGCTGACTGGGTGCTGGCAGACATACTTCCTGGCACAGAGATCTGCTGTAACAAGCTGTTTACTGAATTCCAGAGGGCATTATTTTCCTCAGAGGTCAACCAAACACGGAAACCATGAAGTTTCACGGAACACAGACCAAAAGCACAGAGAGGCAGAAAATAGAACTGTACTCATTTCTGAAATGACAGCAACTTCATGCCACCCAAACTAAACAGGCCAATACGGATGCCCTTCATGCTTTGTGAAGGGCAAGTATGTGGAACAAAATCTTCTGATTCAAGACCACCCGTCACGCATTTTTGAAGAAAACCCAACAACTCGTTTTAACACAGGATGGGTCTGCACGTTACCTGCACAGATGGCGGCGATGAGGCCTTTCCTTTTTTCTTGCTCCTTTAGTATCTCCTTCACAGCAGGAGACTGTGCAAAGAAAGCCCAAACACATCAAGTTATCATGAAGCCACGAGTTCACTCTCCAGCTGGAAACCCTGGGAGAATCTGCTTTTAGTTTAAACTGCAAGATCTTCAATCTATCTTCTAACATTTCTAAATCATTACTAGAAAAATTACCAAATTCATGCCGTTTCTACATTGTTAGACCTAAGCAAGGCATTTAATAGAAGAGAAGGGCATCCTTTTTAAAAAGATGTTTAAAGATGAGATGAGAAAACTAACTTCCCTTGGGCAAACTGACACCTGCCATTTTGTGCTCCTGGGATAAAGAAGGAAAAGGAAGGGTATGTGGTGCTTTGGGTGTTTCCAGATGGCCGAGCAAGGAACAGGGTCCAGCAGAGTCCACAAGTCAGATTCGACCTGCTTTGTAAGCTTCTGTCTGCCGTGCCCCTCCCTTCTCTCCCGCTTTTCCTGCAGGCTGACTCCTCACAGAGGACCTCAGTGAAGAAGCAGGGGCCTGTTCTGAAGCCATTTTTCACCCCCCACTGGCAGTTCAGTCCCCTGCAGCAACCAGGCCCCAGCCCCTTTTATGCTTAAACTTTCATGAAACACAAAATTAGATTCATTCTTCTACCGCACAGAATCTGTTCACAGATAACTGTTCCACCAATTTCGCTTACTCATGTGATAGATGTTGGTAGAGATGTTTCCTTAATTAAGCCAGAACACCATTCTGTTCATTTCACTGCTCCTACTTTATTCCCAGTCTCCTTCCTGAAATATTTCAGTGACAAAACCAACAGAACCCAGGCAGATGCTGAAATAATTCCTCTATATGGTTTTTACCTCAGATAAATTCTGCGCACCCAGATTGCCTCCTGGCAGAACCACTACGTCATAAGGTCCCTGTAGTTAAGAAGAAAAAAAAAAGGTAAAACATTTCATCTGAAATGCGCACTACAGTGATAGTTCAACAACACTTCCCTGTTGTAAATGTGGGTCTGAGCAAAACACTGTTCACAGAAGAGCAGTTACATAAAGGAAGGTCTCTCTCCACAGTGCAGTGTTGCCGTAACTAGCGAAAAATCGAAACACAGTTAACACAAAAGGATGTCCGTATTGCAGAATTACAGGTGTAACATGATCTCATTCTTGTAAAAGAAAAAAAAAAGGGGGTGTCTGGCTGGCTCAGTCTGTGGAGCACATGACTCCTATTCTCAGGGGCTGGGAGTTTGGGTGCCACGTTGGATGCAGAGCTTACTTTAAAACATTTTTTTTTTTAAAGTATGTAGTCCCAACATACATGGGATACACATGTATGGTCTGCAGATACTCACGGACCAAAGAGGCAGCCCAGCTGCTACTGGGGTGTGGAGTGGGATGGTGGCGAGGGGACAGTGAGAAAGGGACATTTCAACACTTGGGACTCTTTGTAGGTCTATGCTGTATAAGAGTTATTTTTTTAATAAGAATGTACACAGTCATAAAAATAATGAAAAGAAAACAAATTTTAAGTGAAAGGCACAGAAAAAAGTTTCCACCTCTATGAAAAGTGATACCTGGGGTGTGTGGGGGGGAACAACGGCAGTGTTTTCGTGTTCCAAGCACCCAACGTCCCAGAAATCTACTGAGTCCACACTTGCTGAATTAATGATATGGAAATTGGTTTAATATACTTTAAAGATGTGAAGAGTTTTAAAAATTTAGTCATTCAGCAGATCACCAAGTGACAACTTAGAACATACTTAGGGTAACACATATTGCTTAGAATTACTCTTGAAGACAAAGAACATTCTACTGTTGCTTTAAAACGAAGCAAAACTACAAACTAAACAGAAAGTGTGTTGAGTACAGAACTTCTTTCACTTTTAGAATCTGAATAAACAGATACAAAAGGTGACCACTATTCTAAGACACCCAGACACAAGATGAAACAGAACAGATAACAGGGAGTACCTACTTCTAGTCAGCCACTTTGAATATGCTCTTTAGAACGTCTCAACACCTTCTACATATATACCAATATTCCTATCCTCCACAATCTGGCATCGAAATATGTGAACTTATCAGACAGGAATAAACCATTCTCTGAGTGAGGGCAGCCAAGCACAGGAATCACACTCTGGGCTCCTTGGCAGGGCACGAATGGCCATCGACGAGCTGCCTCTGTTGGTTTTCCTGCCACATCGATGCTCCAAGAGCATATGGCCCACAGCCCTATCACATGGCCATTAAGCAGCGAACCACAAGGAAGGGTGGGCCAAAGCTCCTGTGCATGTTTGGGTGGCCTTGCTTCTGAGGAAAGGGACCTTAGCTCTTCAAAGATTCCCAAGCGTTAGGTGCCGATAAAGTTGCACAATTTAACTAGAATTCTTACTCCTCCCTTAACCCCACTACTAATCAACTATGAGCTGTCCCACGTAAAATGAATCACACAATTATGTCCGTGTCACTGAAAATGGAAAGGCAAAAAGCAGCTTTTGAATAAATAAGAAACAGGAAATGTGGCAGGTGATTCCTTGTATCAGGTGATGAATCAAGATGTATCAGGAGGCAAAGCAGCCTTCGAGGCCAGAGGAACACTGATGACAGCACCTACTCACTGAGCACAGGCAGCAAGGAACTGCCAACTTCCATGGATACAGAGGGAAAAACGGCAGTCCTCGACTTCCCAGGGCTTATCATAGTGGGGAAGACATCCAACCAAAGTAACTTTTTAAAAATAAGTCAGTGCTAACAGCCTGAGATGTGATCAAAAGACATATGAAGAACCTGATAAGGAAGCCACAGGAAGGAGTAACTCCAGGTATGGAGAACAAACCTCTTTTTTTGCATCTTCCAGGCTGGCATCAGGACAAATGACGACGTCTCGGCTACACTGTACTGGGTCTTTCCCAGCCAGACCCGCGATGGTGACTTTAATCTAAGAGAAAGAGGTCATCAGATAAAACACTCAAACATAAATTTAGAGTAACATTTTCATAGCTGCTGTTTTAAAATAACTTGGCAGGAAATACTGCAACAAAACCATGTTGACTTTAAGTTAGTAAGTTAGCTAAATATAATAACTAGGTCTGTCCCCATTTGCCTGGGACAGTTTGATTTACAGATGCTGTCCTGGTACCCTGTCTGGTTAGCGCCCTTTCTCCCACAAGTGTTCTGCTTTGGGCAATCATCATGTTAATAATCCATCTTACAAAGTTATTGTTGCTATTTAAATATCACGGTGTTTCCTAAAGATAGAAAGACAAGTTAAAACAATGAATTATTACTTTAGCTTGCAAAAATTTACTAAGTTAATAAAACCAAGAGCTGGTACTGGGAAAATGGGAATTTCCCTATACTGCTGGTGGGCCCACATGTTGGTACTTTGGGGAACCATGTGCCAAAATCTGGTAATGCCACCTATGGGCTGTTCTTTGGCAAAGCAATTCCACTTTCAGGAACAAAATCAGGAAAAACTTCCACACGTTTGCATAAGGAAACCTGTACAAGACTATTTAAGTATTATAATGTCCTGAAGCAGCGTAACAGAAGAATGGGTAGACTGGTGCATATTCCTAGAACATAAAAATAAGCAGCAATTTTAAATAAACAAACCGGATCTGGATGTGTCTTCATTCATGATAACCAGAGAAATGAAAGGTTAACAGACTTTGGGGTCAGACTGCTAGCTAGGATCGAAGTACTGGCTCTTATCCTCACTAAGTCTACAACGTGGACACCTTAGCTAGTCTCTCTATGCCTTAGTTTATTCAACTGTATGATGAGGATGGCAGTAACTCACAGGGTTGTTACAGGACTTAAGCAAGTTTATTAAGTGCTTAGAATGACATCTAGCATCTGTAAATGCTATTTAAGTGCTCACTATGTACATATATATATAGAGAGAAAGACAGACAGACACATGCAAAATGCAAATGCAGTCTAACGCTATTTTGAAGACATGCATGGGATGGATACACATCAATGAGCAGAGTTATCTCTGGGGCCAGAAGGGGAATAATACCAGGGAAATATACAAAGAGGGCTGGGCAACGCTTTATTTCTTTAATGCACCTGTTCCTCAAGAAGTGGGTCTACGAGAAATATGGCAAAATGTTAATAAGCATTAAATGTGGACAGAGTAAGCAGGTAATTATTACACACTCTATTTTTGTGTGTTTGAAATATCTTATAAAGTATACCGAGTATTATTTATTAAGAATGACTTTAAAACCCAGAAAGTTGAAAAAGGTGAGGGTAGAAAATGCTGGGGGACTTACTCCAGCTCGCCTCATGACATCTACGGGGATGACTGTCTCCATCTCCTCTGCTCCTTTGGCCAGGATGACCAGAGCTCTTTTCGAAGCCATTCTTATGTTGTATTTTTAAAAGAATTAAAAGAAGAAGAATTTCAAAAATCTTGGCAGTGCAACCCTAAAATAGCCCAAAAGTTCAGGTTCTTTAAGCAAAGTGACTAAATGCCTCCTAGGGAAAAGGTGCTGATAAACAGAACGTTAAGAAGCACTTTGGGGTAATACTGGTTTACACAGAACTTCAATGCTGTACTTTTTGGATGCCAACATGGTAAGGTTGCTAACACGTTAGTACTGTTCGGATTCTCTTTTACCATTTTTTTAAAACCCAGTATACAATGACTAATTGCAACTAAAATTTTCTAAAACACAAATACATGGGTCTTGCATTTCACACAATGCGGGGAGAAAGTCTTATTTTTGGAAATACTATTTCAGAGAAACGACTAAACTTAATTTCACGGGCAAAAAGCTACAGACACAGTCTTTAGCAATTAGCCGGTGAGATTTTTGGAGGGGATTTTCTTTTAAGTTCCAATAAGTGCGCTAAGAATTTCTGGAAAGTTAACAGTGCTAAATATTTCACATTTTAAAAAATGATGTAGAGAGACGGGAATTCCCCCACTAGACTCAACCTAACTGGACCCGCTCTTCGCACTTGGCTCCTTTGTTGCAAACGGCAGTTGCCAAGCGGGGGTCCGAGCCGTTTTTAGCCTGTGCTTTCTGTGGAGTCTGCTGCCCACGCAAAACGCGCGCTAATGAAAGCACTTCAGCCCACACAGCATCGACCAGCAGCCGCCGGGATGCCATGCACACGACCCGGAGAATACGAGGCCGTCCCGTCTGCTCCTGCCCGAAGGCCGCCCGCCCAGGAGGCGCGGCGGAACCCCGCCCTCCGCCGTCCCCTTCCGAAGCCCGCGCCGGGCTGCCCGTGGCCCCCTCGCCGCCCGCAGCGCTCCCCAACCCCCAACCCGAACCTCGACTCTGCCCACACTCCCGAACCTCAACCCCTTTCGCAGCAGTTCCCCGCCGGGGACGACCAAACCGCAAGCGGACTAAACGAGGACGCACACGAGCACGTACGCACGTCGTCCGAGCTCGGGACCTCAGACGCGCACTGCGCAGACGCACGCCTCCAGGCTGCTCGTTCTGCCCCGCCCCTCGGTGCTGCGCAGACGTTCGCCGCGCAGACCCCTCCGCGGTCTCCTCCCGCCACCTCCACCCGCCCCCCCCCCCGGCCCTGCACTGCGCAGACGCACGCCCCCCGGCTTCTCATTCGGCCCGTCCCCCCCAGTACTGCGCAGACGCACGCCGCCCAGGCCTCACCTCCTCCTGCTGTGCACAGATTGGCGCCCCTGGCTTGCTTACATCACATCCGGCTGAACCCACTAGAGCAGGCGTGGGGCATGGCCGGCGTTTCCAAGTCGTTCCTGTGAGTCCAAGGATGTTTCCATTTGGCACCGCCAGGATCACGAGAATCCCGCTGGTTCATGCATCCTCACGAAGTTAACCCTTAGCTGGTGGTCGCAGCCCGGAGGCGCGCGCTCCCTTTGGGAGCTGTGGCGGTTTGCTGTGAAGAGGCGTTTTCATGGAGCGGAGTTGAGTCCTCACGCTTCTTATGCGCGCTCGAGGTCCCTTTCCTGGAGCGCCTTCTGTGTCCCCTCCGACCTGTTCCCGCTCGTGTCCCCACGGTGGGCCACCCGTCCCCCGGTCCTGGGCGACTCTTAGCATTTCACGTGTGTTAGTTTTTCAGAGTTGTTTTTTCCCCCAAGATCCCGATGCTGCTGCTGCAGCCACAGGATTCGAGCCCTGCTGAGTACATGGACCTGATCGGTGACACTTATTTAAGTTAGAAACTCAAATTTTGTTAAAAATTTGAACTGAATATTGATACTTGGACCTATTTCAGAAACCAAAGTGATAAAAGTTACATTGAACAGATGGACTCCTATCCTTGTCCCCATCCAGTTCGTCCCCGCTCGCAGGCTCCCTGCGGGTAACGTATTAGTTTCCTGAGCATCTTTCCAGGATTCCTTGTTCAAGCACAAACAAATACAGTTTTACTTCTTTCTTAACAGAAATGTAGCAGACTGTATTGTTCTGTCCTTCTCTCCCTGCCACCACCTTATTATGTTGGAGACCTTTCCTTCTCAAAAGGAACTTCCTTTTTTTTTTTTTTTTCCCCAGATAATATGCCACTGTGACATGTCTCAGAGTTTATCAGTGCCCTACTGATAAACATTTAGGTTATTTCCAACTTTTTTTTTTCTTTTTAAAGTAGGCTCCCTGCGCAGCATGGAGCCAAACCCTGCAGCTTGAACTCTCGACCCTGAGATGAAGAAGACCTGAGATGCTATCAACAGTCAGATGCTTAACCGCTGAATCACCTTATTCATATGTCCTACTTGTATAGGCAAAACTGGAGAGTAAATTCCCAGGAGTGGTGGATACATCCATCAACTCCATACAAGTTAAGTCACTTATCACTCTCGCCAGTAATATGTGAGCTCAAACAGTATTTTAAATACACTGGGTGTTTTTGAAGTTTCAGTTTAGCTATTAAGAACATGTATTTTCAAGAAATAACTTGCAAGCCTTTGTTGGTTTACAAAGTGCTTTAATATATTTTATGAGATCCTTACAATGGTGGTGAGAGTGGTTTTTGCTAAGAATTGTACATAGATTTATAAATTGCAACACTGCACTGTGCAGAATTCCTAAGTATCTTTAAATAATCATTTGGCATTTTAAGAAAGCATTTTGGGAGTTCTGGAATGTCTTTATCTTCGGCTGTTTACAGAGGAAGCAGGAAAAAGCCACCCCCTTTCAGTTTTGAAGTATGGTGGGAAATAGGCAAGTGGTCAGACATGTGTTTCAGAAACCAAGGAGGAATTTAGGTAGATGAAGGAAGACCAAGCAAAGATGGGCTGTTGTGTTCCAGGGTCCCCAGTAAACTCTTGGAAGGAGGCAGCTGTGCTGGTGGCCTGCTGCAGCATGAGATAGCCAGCATAGAACAACAATGGCAAGACAGATGGTCTTGGTGGTGAAAGGGAGAGAGAGAACAAACCTGACTTAACACTCCTGAGACATCTGCATCACCATCAAGATCTGAAATGGACCTGGGTCAGCATCGATTTTTATCAGATGAATACATTGCACATAGTGTTTACAACTCAAGTATTGCTTATGGTAGATTTTCTTTTAGAAATCTCCACTCTTTCCTCTTTCATCTGCATGAGCGGTGGATATTTCCTGCCCCTTGACTTTGGGTTTGACCTTGTTTTATTTATTTTTTTAAAAGATTTTTATTTTATTTACTTGAGACGGAGGAGGGGCAGAGGGAAGAGCAGACTCCCCGCTAAGCAGGGAGCCTGATGTGGGGCTCAATCCCAGGACTCCGGGATCATGATCTCAGCTGAAGGCTGACACTTAACCAACTGAGCCACCCAGGAGTCCCGGGGCTGGCCTTGTTTTAGCTAAGAATGTTAACAGATGAGACCTGATTGAAGCCTTGAAAAGCATTGACCTGATGACCAGGCTTGCTCTCTTGTACATTTGCACTGTCATATAAAGGACTTTCCTTCAGGGCTGCTACTCCTGCCCATTCAACCTGGGTTTCAGAATGGAAACATGTGCTCCCTCGGCCAACCTGTACCTGTGCCCAAGGCAGTCACCACAGCCAAATGGCAGACTGTAGTACTCAGATTTTGATATGACATAACAGCTCAGTGATACGGCATTAAAAGGCTCATAATGAAAAACAGCAGTCTTCTGACTCAGTCCTTCCTACCCGTCAACCCTGCTTTCCAGAGGCAAATATTTTCAGCTCTTTAAAATTAGTTCTTGTAATTGTCTCAATAGTTGACCCTTGAACAGCATAGGCTTGAACTACATGGGTCCGCACATATTTTTCAATGAACACAGTTCAGTACTCTAAATGTATTTTCTCTTACTTGGGATTTTTTTTTAAGATTTTATTTATTTGAGAAAGAGAGCAAGCACGAGCGGGCAGAGGGGCAGAGGGAGAAGCAGACTCCCCACTGAGTAGGAGATCCAACATGGGGCTCAATCCTGGGACTCTGGGATTGTGACCTGATCCAAAGGTAGACACCCAACCAACTGAGTCACCCAGGTGTCCCTCTTCCTTATGATTTTAACATTTTCTATTCCCTGGGTTATTTTATTATAAGAATACAGTATATATAAAATATAACAAAGTATGTGTTAATTGACTATGTTATTGGTATGCTTTCCGGTCAGCAGTGGATAATTACTTTATTTTTAGTAATTGTGGGGGGAGTCAAAGTTATATGCAAATTTCTGACAGCACAGGCTGGGGGGTGGGAGAGTGTTTGCTGGTCCTACATTGTTCAAGAGTCAAGTGTATTTTTAAACAATATTCTATACTGTAATTTTTCCTTATTGGTTTTAGACATTGTATATTAACTTCCTGGAAAACATACTTTTCATTTCACAGCTGCAGAGGCTGGGGTCTGGAGGGGTGAAATGACTAAAAGGTCCTACACAGTCTTGGTCAAATTCAGATATTCTGATACCCAAATTCATATTCTAGCCACCATAAACTCTATCAGTATTTCTTTTCTTTTTTTTTTTTTAAGATTTTATTTATTTATTTGACAGAGAGAGATCACAAGTAGGCAGAGAGGCAGGCAGAGAGAGAGGGGGAAGCAGGCTCCCCGCCAAGCAGAGAGCCCGATGCGGGACTCGATCCCAGGACCCCGAGATCATGACCTGAGCTGAAGGCAGAGGCTTAACCCACTGAGCCACCCAGGCGCCCTCTATCAGTATTTCTTAATAAGTCCATAACACCCATGACACTCATCTTAACTTTCTAGCTCATAGCTATTTCTCATCACACATTTGCAGAATAAAACAAAAAATTCAACCATTCACCAAAAAATGTAGCTTTATTACTGTCAGTGAAGACACCTTCTAATTCAGTCCCTGATTTCCAGGCAGGAAAACCTCATCCTATTCACTATTTAATTCTACATTTGGTAAGTCTTTATGCATTGCAGGACGTGTAAACTAAAAGTCTCTGGCTGTTCTCAGAGAGCCTGAAATCTTTTTCTTGAAGGGCTTGAAACCTTTAAAGATACTGTTCTGCCTTGATGAGCTCCTCATCCAGCAATGGAGAAATGATACTGATAATGTGAGTGAAGGAGTTCAGGACATGCTACCTCCAAATGTCACCTTGCCATGTTATTTTTAGTTAAAGGCATTTTTTTAAACAAGAGGTGCAAGAAAGGCACTCAGATTCCCATTTTTTTCATCCTGAAAGCAGAAGAGGAAACTCTCAGGTGAGAGCTGCCCTCTCAGTGCCAAGAGGAAAGAACCACCACCAGAGAAGCACTTGAGTCTGGAAGAATTTGCACATGGAGACCTTGTTACAATAACCCTTATCTTCCTTCAGTCTCTCTGTTTTACTTTAGCTACTTTTCCATAGTTGCCACTCTTTGCTCAACTCCGTATGTAAACGCTTACCTTTCACCACCTCTTTGGGTCTTCATTTTCTTATGAAGGCTCCTGGGTCTCCTAAAACTTAAATAACTTGTATGCTTTTGTTCGGTTAACCTTTTTATATCCATTTAATTCTCAGACTTTGCCAGAGATCCTAAGGAAATAGAGGTACAGTTTTTGCCTGTCCTACATTAACAACAGCCACCCGTGGCCATTCTGAATCTGGTTCCAAAAAACAACCCTCCCCCAAAGTAGCCTGATCACAATAAATAGCAAAGAAACTGGCGCCGGGTTACTTATTACTTTTCCGCTCATCACTTAACATTTCACATCTCATCTCACGGAATACTCATTTTCTATGAATGTGGATGTATCTTTTTCCTCATTGATAGTACTTATTTAGCATTTTGTCTTCTGTTTACTTATCTGTTTCCCTCTAATCCTGTGAATTCAGTAGGACCTTCCTGTCTTGGTCACTGCTGAATCCCTGTCATCTGCTACAGCCCCTGGCACATAGCAGGTGCTCAGTAAATACTTGCTAAGCTGTCTTAGTTTCACCCTAAAGATGT